GCCCTGTGGCTTAGGAGGGGGTGAGGGTGTTTGGGGGGGTTGTCATGGATTAGGAGGGGGTGAGGGAGGTTGTGGAACATCCTGTGATTTAGCGGGGTTTGAGGGCATTTGAGGGGTGTCCTCTGGGTTAGGAGGTGTGAGGGTGGTTGCGGAGAGCCTGTGGGTTAGGGGAGGGCAAGCTGAGGGGAGTCTGGGGTCCAAGGGGTGGCCAAGCTGATGGCTGCTCTCCCCGCAGGGAAGCCGACCCTGTATGGCAGCCTGACCCGCCGCGGGCTCAGCACCGAGGGCGTCCCTGACATCGCTGCCTCCGAGGGCTTCGTGGTTGGGGAAGTCACCAAGGTACCAGGGCTGGGCTGGAGCGGGGGTCGGTAAACACCTTCCACGTGTGAAGGGCCAATACTCTTATGCCACTCAAAATAGCAGCCTTAAGCTGTTGTCTGGTCCCCTGCATGGTCCTATCCAGCTGTCCTGGGCCTTCCGCCTGTGCAGTGGCCTGGACCTGGTCCGTAGCATCCCATAGTTGGGCTGGGGCTGTGTGTCATGGCTGGCCAGGTCATAGTGGCCATCCCTTGCCACCCAGGGCCTTCATCTTGAGGAGGTGTAAGGAAACGAGCCCAACGCTGCACCTTCCATCAGTCTTCACTGAAGAAAGACGGCAGCTGGGTCCAGATTGTAGTTCTACTACAGCAGCCTCTGTGTTTCAGTAGGCCTAACAGCACTTCTAATTAGTTTTCTTCCCTCTTTCCTCCTCTAGAAAAGCATTCTCATTTCTTGTCCTCACGAAAATGTCTCCACAAAGTTCCTGGCCCCGTACACAACCTTTTGTAGAATTCATCAGAAAAGTGTAAGTATCCTTGCGAAGTGAGTGGGAAGTAACTGGAAGCAACGTTGAACTTCCATAATGTGTCTCTGACTGTTGCATTCTCGTTCTGAGGGGTGGCCTGCAGCATAACTTGGTGTGTGTGCGAGGTAATAAAACTTACCAGATCATAGAAACTTGGGAGACGTGATCGTGGTTAAGTTCACCCCCCAAAGAATAATCTCTCAAATTCTTTAGTCTGTTTTCTTACCAGTGATCTAATTTCTGCTCAGTTCAGGCCCATTTCAGATCCCCTTGTGAATTGCTGTGTCAAAAACCAAGATAAAAATGAGAGGTTCCGGACACTGACCTGTTCATCTCTGGTTCATATCTATCCCTGGTTTGCAGTGGCTGTTTGCTCCTGTGTAATGTTTTTGAAATTTGCTGTGCCAGTTTCTGTTTCTGGGGCTGGGAATCGAATGTTGTATAAATTTCTCTTGACCTGGTAGGAATTCAGACACCAGAAAGGCTCAGCTTGTATTTAAAAAAATAAATAAATTGCTTGAACTTCTCACTTACTTGAAAGAGGTCCTGCTCGTTTTGCTGAATAATCTTCTTTCTTATTGCCCCCCCCATCAATCTGGGGGTGCAACAAGTACAGCTTCCCCCTGAACAGTGATACAGAGAGGCTGACTTCTGACCTGAATTTTCATTTCTTCACTGAGAAGAAGCGCATAACTTGGCTTTGCTGGAAAGTAGTCTGTGCTTTTGCTGAATGCTTAACCCTACGTGGAAATGATCTGAAAAACTAGGGAGTGGGTACAGCCAGCTGCCCTGAAGGGAGTCCCCCTGAAGGCTGCTGCTGGAGATTTTTTAGTACGCTTGTCTCATGATTTGTTGAGTAAACTGTTGTGATAAACCCAGCTGAAAAAGTCACTCTCTCTTAATGAAACTCAAAAGCCATATAAATCAAGGTGCGTTTTGGCATAAAGGCAATTCCGCATCTCTACAGCTGTTTTAAGAGGAAGCACGGCTCTGTGGAGAGATGGAGCTTGGCAGCAAGGCAGCTCCGGAGGCAGAGGTGAATCACGTCTCTGAGCGTTGTGCTGCTTAAGAGTCCCCAGCTGCCCTTTTGTGTGATAAATGGAATTGGCATTCAAAGCACAGCAAAATGGAAATACAGGCCAAAGCATTTTGTCTACTGTCAAACGGGTGTGCTGGCTTACAGCTGCACTGCAGGTCTCCTCTGGAAAGCAGCTGAAGCAATATCTATTAATATGTAGATGAGTTTAAAGCCAGTGTGGACGAAGCTCTGGTTACCCCTTTCACCTTTTTGCCTCTTGTTCTGAGCACTCATGAGCCCTGCCTGTTTGCATATCCCTCCTGAAAGTTTGGGGGTATGTCAAATGTCAGTGAGGCTTTTTGTTCCTGTTTGAATTACCTTCACAGGCTTTTTTTTTTTTTTTAACTAGGGAGCAAATTACCACAAATTGGTTTCTTATATAAAATGCTACTCATGTTACCAATGTATTTTTCACATTACCAATATGGAAGTAAATGTACTTAGTGGCTGTTGGAACGGCTAAACCATTACCTTGTGCTCTTATTTAAATCTTTTCATTCCTGTTTTAATTCCCAATTATAATTTTTTGCACCCTGTTGAAATTAGCTGTGGTTTTTGCTGACAGAGCTTTTCAGGAGAGCAGTTTGGTCTGACTCAGGAGAACTTACAACTGAAGCGTGGCATATCGTGTTCGCCACAAGCCCTAGCTGATGCACATGCAGCAACAGGATGCCATAGGATGTCCTTAACATCTGGAAACAGCTGGAGATTGATGCAGATCTGCTATGTACTTGGTCTGCTCAGGGGTGTCGTCCTTAAATCTCAGGCCTGTAGCTGTCACCTTTCTTGGCAAAATCTCTCAATCTTCAGGTTTCCCTGTGAACATGGTAGCAAATCCAACTGTCTCTTCAGGCTGGCTGCTGGCTAAGGCTGAGCACGTGCAAGAGGGTCGACAAAGCCCAGTCCTGTTTGAGGATAGTAAATTGTTCAGAAAAAGCACTTAAATCTGAAGCCTGGGAGGAAGATGAGTGGCCTCATCCCTGATGTGCCTGACTGGGTGCTTGGGACCTGCAAGGGCACTGACGGAGTGTGCGCGTTAAGACTGGAAACTGCGCTTTGTCGTGGTGAGGGGTTGGAGTGACGACAGAACCGTGATCTGCATTTCTCGTGGTGGATCTGCATTTCTCGTTTCTGTCGGTGGTTTTTGCCACTGAAGTATTTTCTTCTAATCCGTGGAGTGCAAATACAATTATTCAGGAGCTTTTGGAGGTGATCTGGCATGACTCAGTCTTGCAAGACAAGGCAGCTATTCCACTATGTAGTTGCGATAGCTTTTCTCTTTCTTTTTTTTTTTTTTTTTTTTCAGGATGCAACGCTAGTGTTAACCTTTGTTCTAACAAAATCAATATGGTTGGGTTTTTTCAGCCTGTTTAGTGTTGCTGCAATCTGTATTG